CCTCCCCGCCCCACTCCCTGCAGCACAGCCCCTAGCGCCGTCCTGGGGCAGTGGGGAGCCCTGACTGCCCGGACAGAGCTGCCTGCTGCCCCCTCCCCGCTCCCTGCAGCACAGGCCCTAGCGCTGCCCCATCTCCCAGCGAGCCTGGCCCTGCGCTCACCGTTGGGCAGGTCGGGGTGGCAGAGCTACAGGTTGTGACGGTGCTGCCCGTGGGAGCCAGCTGAGGTCACTCAATCAGGGTGAACTACAAACAGAACGGGGCAGACAAACCCCAAACACTGGTGGATATTCCGATACTTAGATTTACCAAGCCAGCACAAAACAACTTCTATATTACCATACAGGTTACTCAGAAGTCCAAACAACGCAGCTCCCTTAAAGTACCCAGCCTCAGGCCTCCATCCAGACACACCAGTCAGATATGATGATGATTACTGAAAATCTTATCTCATCATATAAAAGAAAAGGTTCTTCCAATCCCAAAGGATCAGCCACACACCCAGGTTCAATTAGAACTTAGATCTTACCCAAAATCCACGCTTATAGCCAATTCTTTTTAACTAAGCTAAAATTTTGTTAAAAAAGAAAAGAGAGAGAGTGTTGGTTAAAAGATCAATATACATACAGACTTGAATTCAATTCTTGAGGTTCAGATACATAGCAGAGATGAGCTTGTAGTTGCCAAAAGTCCTTTTAGAAATAGTCCATAGGTTATAGTTCAATGTCCATATTCAGGGTGGCTCCAGTCAATGACTGGGGATTTCAATCCTTATGGCTCAAGGTTTCCCCCTCTTGAAACCCAAAGCAGATCTGAGATGAAGTAGGATCGTGTCCCAGGGTTCTTATACATTTCCAGCAGCCTTTCGGCCTGAGAAAACAATAGGCTTAACTCTCCTTCTCCCAAACATCCTGGCAATTAGCACAGGGTAATCTATCCATTAAACAGTTCAGATACAGGTTACCACAACCTTCAAAGAGACATAGAGACAATAATACTATTTCACTCAAGTATCATCATAAATGTTAATGTTCCTTTTTTGATCTTTGAATTAAAGTTATAGCAAGTTATAGACAAGACTCATTTGCTTACATCACAAGACCTGAGCAAACATCTACCCTATGGGCAAAACATATGGAAAGAAGAGGATCAATTTATACAGAGGGCTGAAGGGGGACTCCCATAGTGCATTCAATTAACACTTAACAAATGCATCAAATTTAAATACATTACAGAGATAAGAGCCTGTAATGACAGACGTTACTTCATGAGACGCTCCAGAGAAAGAAGACCCAGAGGGAGTAATGGGAGGGGGGATCCTAGGGAGGCCAAAGGGGCTGGTAGAGGGAGCGGACAGAACAAGGGTAGAGGCAGAGTCGCTGAAGTGTTGACCCAGTCTTCTGCCTCTCCCCTGTGGGAGATGGCAAAGTGTACCCAGATATGGATTTCAACCCCCTTCAATGTAGAGATTATATAAGACTGACTAACGAGCAAGTGAGAGAAGAAATTGCTGTTAAAAATTCAATCTCTCGCCTAATGAATGAGGAGGACTCTCAAAACAGCATAAACAATAACAGCAAAACTTCAGAATCATTTGCAGACTTGGGAACCTGAAGAACCTAACATGAGCGTGGCAAGCGACATGACATTTTCTGTTTGGGTTTCCTTCTGTGAGATTTACAATGAGTGTGTTTACGACTTGTTACTCTCAGTGTCAAATGACAAGAAAGGAAGGGTGCTCTGTCTTGCTCAAGGCATCAGAGGCTGCTCAGATGTAAAAGATCTGCAGTGGATTCAGATTTCTGATTCAAAAGACGCTTTTAAACTTCTGCAGCTCGGGTTGAAGCACTAGAGTATTGCTTGCACCAAACTGAATCCTTACTCCAGTAGAAGTCGCAGCAAATTCACTGTTCAAATGTTAAAGCCTGAAGATTCTGAAGCACCTGATGTAACACGAGTCAGTGACTTGGCGCTCTGTGATCTTGCAGGCTCAGAAAGATGTACCAAGACGCACAATGAAGGTGATAGATTGAAAGAGAGTGGAAATATTAACACTTCTCTACTGATTCTAAGCAAATGCATCAATGCACTCAAGAACAGTCAACAGTCAAAGCTGCAGCTGCATATACCGTTTCGGGAAACTCACTTCCTTCGAGGCTTTTTCAGTGGAAAAGGGAAGCTGTATATCATGGTAAACATCAGCCAGTGTACCGCTGCATATGGTGAAATGCTCAGTGTGCTAAAGTTCTCAGCAATTGCCCCCAAATTTGTGTTCTAGACTCTTCTAATGCTCCCCAAGAGCAGCCATTTGTCCAGAAGTCTGCAAGAGACGTGTCTCTCATAAATAATGCTGACACTAAAATGCAGGTAGCAAGGAAAAGAGCCCCTCTACTTTGGAACAGGAACCTGGAAGATGTGATAGAAGATAATGATCATTTAACTGTGGATAACAATGACACACACAAAGAGCATGATATGGTAAAAGGGATGTCAAACGAGGCGGAGGAAAAGGAAGTAATTATTGGAAAAGAAGAGTATCTGAGACTACTAACTATAAGAGAGGACTTGAAAAGCAAGCTGGTCAACAAGAGAAAAGATAAGTTACTCTTGGAATTAAAAATTCATGAAGAAGTCACCCAAGAATGTACTCAGTATTTTGCTCAACGGGAAACAGATTTCAAGCAATGCCTGTCTCATGATCGAGAGTTGCTGGAAGAAGCTTCTGAACAATGCTTGGAAATCTACAAGGATTTGGTAAATGAATGTGCCAAAAACCTGGATGAAGAACAGGAGATAAAGAATTCCCACTGCAATGAAAGAGCTGGAATGCTGGAAGGAGGCAATAATGTAGCTCCTGAAATCTGTATTGCTCTTGAGGGCATTATTAATTCTCTGCAAGATGCTGTCACTGATATTAAGAAGCAGGCAGGAGGAGCTCACAGGTATATTGGATCCCTAGAAGACCCTCAGGAAGTTATTGTTAGCTTGAACAAAAACTGGGGAAAGTTACTGTTGAGCTAACTAAAACCGAAGAGAGCTGACACAGAGAACTGAAGAGCTTGAAATGCAGGTGATTAAATTAAATGTATCTCTCTACAACTTGAAGAAGCTACTGAGAAAATGGCGACACAGAATAAATAAATTCAAGAGCTAATGCACATTGTGGAGCAACAAGAGGATGTTACAAGTAGACTACAGGACTTAATATCCCATTTAGAAACTACAGTAAAAGACTACGACAACCCTGGAACTACTATTGAAAGACAAATGGCAAAGGAGACCAGCAATGGAACAATAGAAGGCACTCAGTCAATTGAAAGTGTGAAGCATGTGTTGGATGTAGGAAGAAAATGCTGGTTTGAAAGTAAGTCTACCCACGAGGAAGAGCCACCTACAAAGAAAGGTACTGTTTCTACCACAGCCGAACAGGGAAGCCTTCCGAAAAAATCTCATTCCAGTGCCAGAACCAGAGCAAAAACTCGCAATTCGTAAATTTTATCGTCTGAGGAGAAGAAAGTCTGCAACATGAAAGGCTACGTGGAAGTAACTGTTTATTTTCACTGTCTTGTGTGTTGCCTCTAAATTCTTAACATAAAATAAAATAAAATAACTGCTTTTAGAAAAAACAGTCTCCCCTGTGGGTAGAGACACTGATCACTATCACTGCCGGGGGAACAATAGAGTGGAATGCCCAGAAGAATGAATGAATGACTTGAGGACAATTTCCTGAAGGGACCCTTACCCCTGCAGAGCTTTTCTAGCTCCGACACTTACATTTCCACGTAGGGTGGTTTGCCCACAGAAATAAAAATCTGCACCTCTTCCATGTGCTTTTGGACCAATGGGAAAAAAAACAGGTACAATTCAAGTGACTTTTAAAATTGCCTCTGAAACTGAGTTAACAAAATAAATGAACAACCAGAACATACACTTCGCAAGTGAAAAATGATAAATGGAGTTCTTTGCAAAGAAATTGTACGTTTTCTTATCGGAAAAGCCACCAGCTGTCTGGAAAGGAAGAGTAGCTTGAATTACTTGCCTCAGTGAAATTAAATCCCCAAACAGAGAATTGCTGGGCCTGTGATGCTGATGACCGGGGCTTACTCACCTGTGGCTCCCCCACCCTGCACTGTGGAGGCACCAGGCAGGTCTGAGTCTGCAAGCAGGCGCCTGCCTCAGGTGCAGCTCCCATTGGCTGTGGGGGTCAATGGGCTGGGGGGAGGGGGAAGGCAAAGGGAGAGATTGTAGGGAGCAGGGGAGAGGGGAGCTGTCTCTGGAGGCACAAAGGGGGGGCTCTCCAGAGAGGGGTGATGGGGCATAGGGGCCAGTGGTTTCTCGGGGGGTGGGGGAAGAGGGTTGTGGGTCTCTCTCTGTGGGGTGAGGGCGGGGAGTGATGGACGGAGCTAGCTGCAGCCCGGGTCTGCTCTGCAGCGCGAGTGGGGTTGCTATAGCCTCCCAGGAAGCCCCCTCTGTACTGTGTATTTAATGCCAGCCCCAGGGTGCCCATCACCGCTCCTGCTTCCCCTGCCTCCATCTGTCTGTGGCCCCGCCCATCTCTCTGTCCCCACAACCCCCCGGCTGTGTCTGTCTCTGTCTGTGTCTGTCTGACAGTGACAGACTCCTGCTGTTCGCCCTGCCCGGGGCCGAGCAGCTGCCTGCGGCTCCCTCCCCAGCCCTGCTGTGGGGGCGGAGCCAGTCAGTTCTGACCCCGCCCCCCACCGCTCCCATTGGCCACGGTTCCCGACTAATGGGCTGGAAGCCGGGTCAGCGCAGGGTGGGTGGAGCCGCCCGCGTGGGAAAATGTCTCTGGCCCACAGACCTCAATGTGTTTACCAGGGACACATTGCCGACCCGTGGGGGTGGGGGCTAGGAGTGGGGAGGGCAGAGGGTGGGGTGGGGTGGGGAAGGGGGAAGAGGGCAGGCAGCAGGGTAAGTAACTGAGCCAGGAAGGGTGACGATGCACTGACTGAGGGACACACCAGGGGGAGAGATGGGAGGGTAGTGGGGGGGAGGGGAGATGGAGGGAGCAAAAGGCAAATGGAATTAAAGCAGCTGGAGATCAATGCACGAGAAGCGGGAGAGTGAAGAACCACACAAGCAGGGATGCCGGACAGGAGGCTGCGCACCAGAGCGCCCTGGAACTGAGACCGATAGAGGCTGATAAGGAATCCAAGGCCCAGAAGCTCGCCATGGAGAAGGAAGGAGAGAGGAAGCATGAACTGGATTTGCTAGAGAGGCAGAACCAGCACCCCACAGACACACCAGGGGGTCCCACCATTCCAAAAATCCACCAATGGGAGAGGCTGTGTCCTGCCTACAGCAAGACAGGGACATGGCTGAATATTTCATCACCTCTGAGCGGCTGTGTGAGCTCCAGGCGATCCTGAAGACCAAACGATGCCCACGTTGGTTGCAAAGGTGTCTGGGAAAGCTCTGGACAGATTCAATAAGATGCCTATTGATGATGCTGCAAATTATGGTAAATTCAAGGGAATGGTTTGAAAACACTTTCACACTTGAACCGTCTAGAGTAAAATTCAGAAGCCTAAAGCGAGGGGCTGGAATGAGTAATGTGGCCTGTGGCAGCAGATGAGAGAGGTGATGGAGAATGGGGTACGGGGGAAGGTGTTACAAGCTCTGCAGAAATGGGTGATCCTGTTGCTCAGGGGCATTTCCTGAATGTGTGTGATGATGATGTAAAACAGTGTTTGTGGGATAAAAAGGGAAGCGCCCGGAGGGGCAGGGGATGCTGAATGCTCCAATTTCAGACCCAGGAAGGTGAAGCCGTGTGAGCTTCTTGCCCTGGAGACAGTCTGCTCAGAGAGAGGAGGCTCCCCAGAGTCCTGACTGGCTTCGTAGGGAGCAGTTCCAGAGCATCGCCCGGGGACTCCGTGACAGGGGGATTTGCCTTTTGTGTCACAGTGTCTCTCTGCAGCTGCTCACCCTGCGGGGTTCAGTCCCGGGGGAGCCTGGCCCATGAACCCTGCCCTGCTCCTGGGCTCCTGGCCATGAGACGAGCTCAAAGTTCTCCATGGACCATCCCTCAGCCCCAGAGCTCCCACCACCACCACAGAAGGAGACTGGCCTTATTTCACACAAGGGGAAACTGAGGCACATGATGTGTCACAACTTGCAGCAAGTCAGTGTCACCAATGGGAACCCCAGAATCCTGACTCCCAGGTCTCCCCCACTCGCCCTCACTCCCGACTCAGAGCTGGGACAGAACCCAGGAGTCCTGGCTCCTTCCTTAGCCCTCATACCAAACTCCCTTAACTCCCTCTATAACTCGATGCCCGTGGACAGACGGGGACTGGGCTGGAATAACACAGGCTGCCGCGGGCACGGCACAGACTGACCAGATTTTAAATCATGATCAAAACCTCAGAAACATCCCAAAACCCACTTTATTGCTGTTAGCAAAGCTGCAGAGCGAGATTGGGAGTGGCCGGGCTGTGGACACACACGGGGCACAGGGCGGGGGCTATACAGGGGCTGGGCCCGTTCCACACAGACCCCGCGCTGGGCGCAGGGCTCAGCAGGGCTGGACCCCGGGGGAGCCGCACACGGGTGCAATGGGGCCTTTAGCCAGGCGCTGGAGCTGCCCCACTGCCAGCCATGGGCCCGATCCCGCCCCACAGGGACCCCATTGACCTGGAATGGCCGAATCTGTCCCAAAGCCTGCTGAGGGGCTTTACCTGGGGTGACTGACAGCAGCCTCTGACCAACAGGGGTCAGGCTCGGGGCCCAATCCAGCGCACACCGGAGTCAAGAGAAACCTTCTCCATGACAGCAATGGGGTTTGGATCAACCCCGTGGGCCTTGCTGCTCCCTGACGAGGACCGACCCCCATTCCCAGCCCCATGGGGCAGTAGCCCTCTCCCGGGATAGGCGTCCCCCTCCCAAGCCCAGCAGGGGGTGAGTGAGGGAAGTCCAATGGGCCAGCTCCCCAGTAAATCTCCAGCGGGTTGGCTCGTCGTGGTTACAGGGCGAGGGGGCTCCCGCCTGTGTTCAGCAGCTGGCACCGACAGGCACAGAGCAGGGACGCTGGGGTACAGCATGGGGAGGGGGCGTGCGAGTGCGTCCCACGAAGGCACCTGGGGGATTCGGGGGCCCCAGCTCCTCCCCGCATTTATCTGAAAGGCAAAGAGGGTCAGTTACCAGGAGCCCTGGGCCCAACGCAAGGCTGGCAGGGATCGGGGCCATTCCCCAGCACCCCCTGTGAGTCTCTCATTCGAACAGGGGGTATTGGGTGGGCCCAGGGGCTGCGGGTGCAGCAGGTGCCCTCCCCGGGCAGTGGCTACTCACAAGGGGCCCCGCGGGTTGCGGGCGGCGTTCATCTTCATGCCCTTGATGATGAGGATGGTGCCCACGATGATACCGATGATGCCAACGGCCAGGCCCAGGGCGCACACCAGGGTCTCTGAGGTCTTGGGGACAGGGGTGGGCACCTGGACTTCTGGAGAGAGGAGGAGAGGGACAAAACATGGAGTGAGGGGGGCTGTTCCCACCCTTCCTTCTCAGAGCTGGGATAGAACCCAGGCATCCTGGCTCCCAGGCCTGTGCCCAGCAGGGTCCCTGGGCGCACCGGCCTCACCCCAGTGCTTCGTGAAAGGCTCGGGCAGCCCCCAGTGCTCCACCCGGCAGTCGTAGAAGTCGCCCTGGCTGGGGAGGAAGGGCAGGTAGGAGAACTTGCGGAAGGAATTGTCCTGGCGGGGGTAGAAGTCGGTCTCGGAGACGCCCTCGGTCACCTCCTGCCCGTTTTTCAGCCACGTGAGGCGTAGCACCGGCGGGGAGAATTTGTCCACGAAGCAGATCAGGATGTTGGGCTCGCCCAGCTCCACGGGGTCTTCGGGGAACACGGTCACCTCAGGGGGCACTGGGGAGACAGGGGTTAGTGGGTCCCATTGCCCAACGCCCGAGCCAGCCAGTCCCTGCTCTGGGGCCAGATTAGAGCCAGCACCCCCTGTGTCCCATTCCCTGCCCCCCTGAGCCAGCCAGTCCCTGGTGCTCACGCTCCAGCTCAGGGTCTCTCCCCAGGGCTGTGGGGGCATCACTGGGATGGTCCCAGCTCCCTGCACTGATGGCTCATGAGGCACCAGGGGCAGGGGAGAGAATCTCTCAGGGGCAGGGCCTGGCGTTGGGCAGGGGCAACAAACAGCCCTCAGCAAAGGAGTTGCCCTGGGCCACCAGCCTGGAGGGTGTGAAGTGCCCTGGCCCCCTGCCCTGCAGAGCCCTGGCCTCGGCTGACTGGCTCCCCAGAGCCGTCCAGGGGCTGGAAGGGGAGCTGGGAGGGGGCTCTCAATCTCTGGAGGGGTCTGGTATCAGCCCGGGTGGGTGTGCGAGCAGGGGAAGGTGGGGGAGAGATGGGATGGGGTCTCTGCTCAGGAAGGTGGGGAGAGGGATCCAGGGAAGCGGGAGAAGGCTCAGGTCCTTGGCGGGGAAGGTGGGGGGAGGGATCAGGCCCCTGGCGGGGAAGGTGGGGGAGGGTCAGGTCCCTGGAGGGGAAGGTGGGGGAGGGGTAAGGTCCCTGGAGGGGAAGGTGTGGGGGAGGTATCAGGTCCCTGGCAGGGAAGGGACACTGTATGTAAGAGAGCAGTGTGATTGCTCAGAGCTCCAGTATGAAACTGGAGAACCGCCTGTTGAGAGTCTTTGGGTTAAGTTTAGCGGCGAGAGCAACAAGGGTGATGTTGTGATGGGCGTCTGCTATAGACCACCAGACCAGGAGGATGAGGTAGACGAGGCTTTCTTCGGACAAGTAACTGAAGTTTCCAGATCACAGGCCCTGGTTCTCATGGGGGACTTCAATCACCCAATATCTGCTGGGAGAGCAATACAGCAGTGCACAGACAATCCAATAAGTTTTTGGAGAGGGTTGGGGACAACTTCCTGGTGGAAGTGTTGGAAGAACCGACTAGGGGCCATGCTCCTCTTGACCTGCTGCTCACAAATAGGGAAGATTTGGTTGGGGAAGTAGAAGTGGGTGGCAACCTGGGCAGCAGTGACCATGAGATGGTCGAGTTCGGGATCCTGACAGAAGGAAGAAAGGAGAGCAGCAGAATACGGACCCTGGACTTCAGAAAAGCAGACTTTGACTCCCTTAGGGAACTGATGGGCAGGAACCCCTGGGAGGCTAATATGAGGGGGAAAAGAGTCCAGGAGAGCTGGCGGTATTTTAAAGAAGCCTTATTGAGGACGCAGGAACAAACCATCCCGATGTGTAGAAAGAATAGCAAATATGGCCGGCGACCAGCTTGGCTTAACAGAGAAATCTTCGGTGAGCTTAAACTCAAAAAGGAAGCTTACAAGACGTGGAAACTTGGACAGATGACTAGGGAGTATAAAAATATTGCTAGAGCATGCAGGGGTGTAATCAGGAAGGTCAAGACACAATTGGAGTTG